AGAATATTTACCATATACATTCATTTTCAAAATTTACTCAAAGACAACAGAAATGCATAAGCTAATAAGTAGTTAACAATTTAGTAACAAGTTAAAAACTGTAAAAATAGATGAAGCATCTGTTACAAATATATGAATTTTCTGTTTTACATTTTCAATAAATAGATAAAAGTACTATATTATGCCCACTCTTCTAGAAAATAGAAAAATATTCTCCTAATTGATTTTATGGAAATGTTATTAGTATGAAAGTAAGACGATATGTAAAACAAGGACAAAATAAGACATTGTTATTGTAGGTTTTATGAGTTTCACTTTTGAAAAACATGTAGTAAATTCCATAAACAATAATTTACATTTAAATGAGACATTGTTGACTTCTTGTTTTCTAAAAGTGATGAATCTGCTCAGTAACAGTAACTAATTAAACCACTTCTACAAAATAATCCCATCATGACAGCAATAAAATCTCTGAAAGACCATCTTATAAAATATGCCATAGTATAAAGAAAGCTATAAAACACATAAAAATAAATAATTCAATTTTTGAAATGTACAAAATGGGGAACATTATTTATTGATAGATAGAGATGTGAATAAAACTGTTTTTATACAAGATAATCTATACATCCAATGTGACTCTCATAAAAACAGATTTATTTTTGAAACTTGCCTAGCTGGGTTTAGGAGTCTTTATAAATATAATTTTGAAAAGATAAAGAAGTATGGAAATATTTCTCAATATCAAAGTTTTCTATAATGCTATGATGGAAATAATTTTTAATGAAAGTTAGACAAAAATCAGTGAAACAAGGGATAAAATAATAAAGTAACAAATGATGGTAGGACAATTTGTTAACCTTATATTAAAGACTCTATTATCTGAAATTTTTATATAAAAACATAACACAAAATAAACTATACTTTGGCTCTAAGAATTAAATGGAAAAATTAGAAAGCCTCAACATCACTCATGCTGTATGTGATAAGGAAAATAATTTTATAAAATTTATAAAATTTTTATAACATAAAAAGCCATAAAAGCAAAACTCTACATTTGAATACAATATATTGAAAGCTGTTTTGTTCTCTTAAATATACTGTATATAAAATTTGTTTGCAAAATATGTTTAAAGTATTTAAACATAATTCATTTGATGACAGAGGATCAGAACTTTTTATTTTCATATTATATATCAAATATTATTATTCATCATTTTTGTGTTATGACATGGTTCTGTATACATACAGACACATACACTGCAGTGTGACCAGTGAAAAATGAGAGAAACTATGAAGAATTAAGAAATTAGAAAAGGAGAAAAAAACAATACGTAGACTTGCAGCAGAGGCTGAGAAAACAGTACAAAGAATCAATCAACTGAAGAGTTGGTTCTTTGAAAGATCAAATAAAATTGACAAATCCTTAGCCAATCTTACCAAAAAAAGGAAAAAAACAAAAACAACAACAACAAAAAAAAAACCCACCACTCAACTCTATACAATTAGGAAAGAAAAAGGTGAGAGCACAACAGCCCCTGTAGAAATCCAATAAATAAGTCTGTTTATTACATTTATTGGACTAGCTTTTCTTTTCCTAGAAGCTTGAAGTTCAAAGTCAGGTTGTTTATTTGAGCCTACTCTCTTTTCTCTATGAGAATTAACCTATATAAATTTCCCTTGCAGGACTGCTTTCTGTGTGGCCCATAAGTTCTGGTGTGTTGTAGTGGCATTAATGTTTAATTGTATAAATTGATTTCTTCTTTAATTTCATCTGTGACCCATTGGTTGTTGAGGAGGGTTATTTAATTTCCTTGTGTTTATGAAGTTCTTGTGGTTTCCTGTGACACTCACTTCCAGTTTCATTGCCCTATGTTTATGAATAGCTATGAGACAGTGTTTTAATCACAGGCATATAGGAAAAAAATTAACAAAAATACGTAAATTTCTCATGACAACATGTGGTGAGCAGAGCTTAAACAGCAATCAGACACAGGACTAAGAATGAAGGCTTAAATTTCAAGTTCTTATGTTGAGTCTCACCAATGCTTAGGAAATTGATATCTTGTATTTGCAGTTTTGATAACAGAATGTGTTTTATGAAGATGAAAACTAACTCTCATATCCTGTCAAAGACCATATTCTTTCTCTCCTTTTTTAAGAGATCTTCATCACTCAGGTTATTATTTTGTGCTCCATGTTTTTGTAAAACATAAGTTTTGATACTCCAACTTCTTCTACTTTAAACATTATGAGAACTTTGTTTCTTTCCTCCTCTTCTTTCTCCTTCTCCTCCTCCTTCACCTGCTCCTCCTCCTCTTCCTTCTTCTCCTCCTCCTCCTCCTCCTTCTTTTCTTTTCCTTATTCTCTCTCTCTTCCCCCACTCTGTCCCTCTGTTCCTTGTGATAGAAGGGACATAGTGATGTAGACATAGATATAAATATAAATGGACATAGATACCTAGAAGGATCACTTCCTTTGTTACTAGAGACACATTTCCTAGAAAATTTATCCACGTTTTCATCAACTTTCTTCATACTACCTATCAGGTCCTAAAATAGATCAAAACTTCTAAAAAGGGTCAAAATAACAACAAATGAGGGTAAATGTGAACAGCAAAATAGAAAACCTGAAACCATTCAATCAGTAGTCAAGAATAGCAAGTCATATAGACAAAGCAGCTGTAAGTCATAATTACTAATTTTCAAGCTCTAACTCTAGCACAAATACTGAAATTTAACACATAATAAAGTCGAAGGATACAATTAAGAACACAGTTAAGATGTGTCAGGAGTTTGATTTTTGTTTTCCCATCATACGCTATAATACTACTGTCAGAAAACTTGGTGGAAGCATTTCCTTTTCCCCTCTGTGTGAACAGCAATGTGGCACAAAATGTACACCTGGATTTTTCTGCCCCATCTTTGAATTTGGTCACTGGAGCAGCATCTAGAGCTCAGGCAGAGATGGAAGAAGCTCCACCTTTAGTCATTCATGGCTCTGCTTGCCCATGTAATGGAATAAAGCTTTCAACCAGGAAGTTTAGAAGGACAGTGCAGAGCCATGCAGATGTCCCTGGTGAGGGGTGACAAAGCTCTCTTTGCCCACCTGGAACACAGGATTCCTGCAGAAGGGGCCCAGGAGCTAAGTAGGGAGAAAGCGGAAGCTTGTACCTCTTGAATGCTCCCTCTGTTGTACCAACCTCCGTGGAATTGAGGCAGTCTTCTCACTGCATCTTCCCTGGAGTGCAGAAGCTGAAAGAGCAGGAATCGGGAACACTTGGGAATCTTCAAGGCAGCAAAGTCGAGAGCCACGGAAATGTGAGCACTACTTCCCCTCATGTGCTGAGCTTTTGTGGGGACTCCTTGAAGTAAATGCGTGGAATAATCAGTAAGAACTGGATGCATCCTGTGTGAAAATCTGAATGGATCAGAAGGTTCTCATTCAGGAAAAGGTGTATCCCTGTATCATTCAGTGTTTTAATTTTTTGCAATTATTTACAAGGTAGATATCCCCTGTATGTATTTCTAGGGTAGATCTAATTCTCTGAGACCACAAGTTTAGGCTAGCTTGTATTTTTATGAATTATGTATTACCACAAAACATAAAAAGTGCCCACATTATTGTGGACCACGTGATGTTTCCATGCATGCAAATATGATGTGAAGTTCAAATCAGGTTAAATGTATTTATCTACTCACTTGTCATTTCTCTATAGTGAAAACATTCAAAATCTTTTCTTCTAGCCTTCTGGAGTGTATGTTTTGTTACTGTGTGCTGTAGTCACCTGGCTCTGCAGTAGCACATCAGAATCCTCACTGATTTCTAATCGTGACTTCATTCCAGTTGATGTAATTTTTCCCAGGCAAATCCCTACTCTCTGTGAACTTCAATTTTGCTGAATGGAGTCTCTGCTGATTTTGAATCTGGATTCCTCCACTCTTGTCTGATTGCCCTTGTCAGCCTTGCAATCTTTCACCCTATGCTTCGTCCATGCTATTTCTTTGACAGCCATACCTGGGTGGAAAAAAAAAACACAGTCTGTTTATCCATTTCTCCCATATGTGGCAGGCATGAGCCCTCCTGATGTTTTCCAAATGCTCTCCTCACCTGACACCATTGGCTAAGTGTCCATCTTCCTGGGTTCTCACCAAGTGCAGCAATTATTCCAGTGTCTTACTGAGGCTGTGGTATGCAGGGTTGTCAGTGACATCCAGTCTTTCACTGACAATCCTTATGATTGCTGCTTAGCTACTGACTAGCAAGCAAGCACTTGTTCTTAACAGACTGGGTCCAACCCTGCTGGAGAGGGACGAGGTAAGCATGGTCCCTGTGTTGTTGGGGGACCCATCTGATGAGGCTGGGCTGAGGCAATGTTTGGAATGTGAGTCATCTGTGATGTGACTGATCAGGGCTATTGGGCTGCCCACAGCCATGGAGAATCTGGGAATTACAGTTGAGAGGGGTATAATTACACAATACTGAGGTGGCCAGTCTTGATGTAATACATACCAAGAAGTCCCTGGGATTTCACACTGAAGGGATTTTAGCATTTATTCTATCTCATTAATCTGTGGCTTTTCATTGTCTTATTGGAGTTCTTTTATTTTTCCATGAATGACTTTAGTTACAATGAATTGAATACACAGGAAGTTAACATCTACTGAAGCTTTATATCCCAAGTTTTCATTTTCTGCAGATGTTCTATGATTAACATGCCATTGGCAAAAATACTGCCAACGTGTACCACTTGAACAAGAAGTATGCAGATGAAGCCTGTGTGTCTTCTTCATTTTAAATACCAATGTTTTTCATGAACACATAATTGAGACTCATTTCTATATAGGCATTATTGGCAAGAAAGCATTTCCAGAGTGGTAAAGTGAAGCCGGTTCCCCAGTGGTGCCAGGTGATTAAGGCAGAAAATCCATCAGTGATGTAAATCCAGCAGTAACGGACTTTGCTTCTCCCTCTGCCAAAGCTATCGTTCTCCTTTGAAGGTTCCCATGAGATAAGTGATCTCCTCTCTCCCAAAATCTGCACACGGATCCTTACATGGAGTCTGCCTCCAGCACAGCAGACCTCAGACGCATGAGGGACCCCTTCGTAGGAAGCAGTCACGTGAGTGGGTAAATTTAATGTGGGGCCTGCCCCTGTCCACCGTGGACAGCTCTTTCTCCACCTGTGTTGATACCTGAGGGTGAGGCTCTTTCACATCCCAGACCCTGAGGAGTGCTGGTCCTCTAGGTGCTCGGACGTCACCCTTCTGCCTGGATCACACTTGCCATCCTGTGGTTAGGAGGTGGATGGCTCTGCTCCAACAGAGGCCCCAGCTCCAACTCCCCAGCAGACTGGTGACAGGGTGAGGACCCAGGGGTGACAGCTGTGGGGCGCTAAAACCATCTTATCTCTGGGTAGTTTCCCCTCACATGAACACACTACTACTTGTTTAGCAGTTCATCACTTGGTATAGTTGTCTATAATTCTCGAGTGCTATAAACAAACTGCCCTGGTATTGTGCACAGAAATCTCCACGTAAACCTTATTGCTTTATTCCTCATTGCAGAGCGGTGTTTGTAAGTCTGGAAGTGGTTGTTCCACATTTTCATTCTCACTGTCTATTCAGGGGTTGGAATTTAAGATTTTCTAGTATGTTTGTAATAGTACCTGGCTGGGCTGTAGTTGATACAACCCTAATGACTCAGAACTTTCACATACGTTACTGTGCTCTCCCGACATCTTTATAACTTCATTGGTAAAGTATTGAATTCACTCTGCCCATTAAAAGTTTTTTTTTATTAAGTTTGAATTTTGATAATTTTAAAAACTAAACCTTTTTTTCTTTCTCTTTTTCCAAATATTGTTGAAATACTTGTGAGGGTACAGCGAAGTTATTTGTGGTCGTGTATATCAATAACGAAGAGGTCCATCCATGTGGACTGTGGTGGTGGACTTGGGAATAATTATTAGTTCTACAGGATCAGGGGAAATGAAAGACATCAATGAGTAGGCTTGAGGCACCTTGCAGAGCAAACACTTGGGGACATGTGGGCGCCGTGAGAGTCTTCCTTCTCCTCCCTGTACCCACGTATGGCAGAAGGGCTGGCTTAGGTCTGCAGGCTCCCTTTTACAAGGGCTCCTTCTCTTATCAGGGAGACACAGATATTCTGATGATAAACATTATTTTTTTACACTCTTTTGATTTAATTGGTTGTCATGCAGAGTAAATATTTCCTCTAAGAATAGGAAATCCTTGCTTTCCTGTCTCATCAGCTCTTAGGTTTTCTGGAGACTGCTTGTGGAAAAGGATGAAAGAGAAAGCAGAGCTTCAGGACCACATGCATGTTTAAAATGGAGCAGAAACCTCCTCTGCATGACAGGGAGACTTGTGCACAGATGCCTCCCAGATACTCCAGACCCTCACCGCCATCACCACACACACAGATGCCAAGGGCTGTATGACTGCACAGAACTTCCCACTGCCCTGCTGTGCAGGCCTCCTGGGCTTTCTTCTAACGAATGAAAATCGCTCTGGGGAGCTGGCAGAGGACACTGAAGAAGGACTTCAGCCACTTGCAGAATTGCCTGCTGTGAGGGCATAGAATTGTGGTTCTTAGGTGAGGCCCCAACAGCAGTGACCAGAACCACCTGAGAACATGCATTCCCCACCCCCAGCATTTGCTGAGCACAGGATTCTGGAGCCTGGACCCCAAATTAACAACTTAGGTTTGAGAACACTCACTTCAGCTGTGTCCCAGCACACGCCGGGCAGCACAGGTTAACAGCCCGGCCATCTGGGAAGTCCCTGAAGACACAGTGGAAGCTGGTCAGTGCATCTGGCTTTTGGCTTGGACAGGAGTGTCCCGCCTAGACTCTCAGGCTGCATGTGGTCTAGACAGCCAGCGATACAGCCCAAGGGACTATAAACTCCTAACACTATTATGTGATTTCTCAGTGTTCTGGTAAAGGCCACCGCAGTGACAAGAGAATGCTGTGTAACAGGGTCGAGTCCAGAGCCAGCTGCCTCCTGTGCCCTCTACAAGGTCACTCAAGGGCCCCCTGCATGTATCAGACGTTGCCACACATGTCATGGTGAGCAAACTGCTGTGATGGCCAGTGAGGGCTTCAGCCTGTAATCCCAGTGTTCTGGAAGGCTGAGGCAGAAGGGTCACAAATGTGAGCCCAGTGAGACACAGTAAGAACCTATATCAAAATGTAAAAATGGGCTTGGAGCACTGAGAGGAACCTCAGTGAGAAGGTCCTGGCTGCAATCCCCAGTACTGCAGAAAAAATAATATTTCAAACTACTTGCATGTATGTTGGCCGGTGAAGCAGACGTTTATTTTCACTGAGCAGACATGTAAACTTTCTTATTTACTTTTTGAATTGAGGCTTGTTGTGTTACTTAATAAAATACTCCAATGAGTTTAAATAAATTAATTGGAGCAACTTTGTTATAGAAGTACAAGAATGCAATAAATCACTTTTTGCTCATGATATGGTGGCATTATATATAATGTAGTATATCAAACCTATAAAATTAAATGGTTGCTCTTTATTAGTTATTGGAATATATATGGTTGCCATCTGACAGTGCCAAGCAAACCCTGACCACGTCTCATTACTTGCACCATGCAGATCACCTTCCCGGGCAGCTGTCCTGCTGGACCCTGGGCTTCTGCTCATGTCTCCAAATTTCAGCAGAGTGTACATCAGTGAACTTTCCCATGAAAGCGTGATTAGACAAGGCAATGATTTCCAGTGATGATCTCTCTGGGAATCCACAAGACCACAGGCATTTTCACAGTACCACTGGTCACATAAATGAAAAGTCGGCTATGTTATCCTTTTCATGCTATGTTACACTCTTTTCTAAACTGTTGTGGTAAAGTATACCCAAGGAGAGTCGTGCTCCTTGTATACAAGAACTATTTATAGGTTGTGTGTGTGGCCCAAGAGAATTCGTGGTCACTCCGGGTGGCTCAGCAAAGCCCATGGCTTGGTTCTTTCAGGCAGCTGTGACACAGTGCTCAGACTGTGAGAAACAGCGGGGGCTTCACCCTTACATTTCTGGAGGCTGGGGTGCTCAGCACTAGTGCACCATGGTGGGACTTGGGCGAGGGTGTGCTCTTCCCACCCTAGGAGGGACTTGTGAGCTCTGGGTCTCGCGTCTGTGAACATTGGTTCTACGAGGTGGGCAGGGCTCTTAGGAGCCACCCACCCCCCAAGGGTTCATCTCTTCCAACAATTACTCAGGGGAACAGGACTTTAACAAGGGAAGTTGCAGCCGAGTGGCCCTCCATTATATATAAATACCACATTTTCTTTATCCGCTTGTCTCTTCATGGGTATTCAGGCTGCTTGCAGGATTTATGTAATTGTCTGGGGCTGTGCTGTGATAAATAGTGGTGCACAAATATTGCTGTCCTATGAAAACTCAAGGTCTTTGGGGAATACACGAGCAGAGGGAGGCTGGGTCAAGACGATTATAAACTGTGTGAACTGCAAATTCATATTAATAAAATAAAATGAAATTAAAATAAAGTCTGCACATATTAATAGGGGAAATGTGAAGTTTTAGGGAGACATGACATTCGTGATGCATCATTATGGACTCGGTAACAGTGGCCCAATGAGAAGCGAGCTTGACTGAGGACTTCTTCTGAGAAAGTTTATGGTCAAACATCCCACAGATGTTCAGATATATTAAATTAACATTCCTTTTATCAAAATTCATCCTAGGGAAAATGATTGTCAGTGCTGTATCAAAGGCATGCAATGCCATTTACAGCAGTGCAATTCAGAACTACAGAAATAAGGAACAACATAAGCTAGGTACCTACAACCAAAACAAACAAAACAAAGACTCATCTGGCACAGCGAATCCCACTCACCACAGTGGTTGCCACATCCTTTCTCAGACAATTTTGAAGGTATGGATTTACATCTCATGCCAGGCTATCAAATAGCCATGCGCAAACCAGATCTATTTATACTTCATGCTCAAAGTTACATCCAGGCCTGTGTAGGGAGGGGAAGTGGAAGGAAGAAAAGAAAACATTCTAAAGTGTCAGTGGTAGTTATCTCTTAGAGAAGGAATTGGGCGATTTCTAAAATTTTGATAATTCCCAAAAGCTTATCTCTTAACTTACTTGTGATAATGGATCAGCTGTGTTATTGTCCTCATACACTTTTTACTATATTTACATCATTTCAGTTCATGTTATTCATTTCTTTGGTTTGTTTTAATGCCTTTATTCTTTTGCTAAGTAGAGTTGGAGTTTCTTGTTTAAAATCACGCTATTAATTTTTTTAGTATTAAATATCTTACGAGTGACATTTAGAAGAAAGAGAAATAATGAAACGGCAGTAATACGAAACATAGCTCTAGAGGAAATTAAAATATATATTCATAAAGGAGGAAAGAGAATCAATATTTACAGTGGAAAACTGAATCATAATAGATATTCCGAAAGAAAAGGAATTATAATCAAATATATATGTGAAGAGAACATTCTTGAATCAAATAGGACTGGATTTGAAACAGAAATATTTTAGGCAGCATTAATAAAGTGTTCCTATATTTTTAATTAGTTTTCAGGATAAAGAAAGGCTACATTTTTAGACAAATTTGTTTCTACTTTGCTACAAATTTTTCTTATCTAGCATCAGCAAAACATGGACCATATTTACAAAATGACTATGGAGAAAAATAGCTTATAAGTTTTCAAAGAATTTGGATTTTGTTTATATATGAAAGTGAGTTATAAATGCTTATTTATACCTGCCCTTACCTTGGTGGGAGACATCCAATCTGTCTTCATGCTTGCATTTTAACTGAAAGCCTGAACCCGAGGATGGAAATCAGCCTGACAGGCACCTCCTTGCATGTGCAATGCCTCTCTCTCCACTTGATCACTTTTTCTTTTGGTCTGAAAATATTTACTCAGCCTCTTCTATGAGTCAGGAACTACTTAAATACTACTAATACAATAGGGCATAAGATAGACAAGGCCCATGAACAGTGAATCATTTTATTCTGATAGAGGCACATGGATGAAAATGAATGATAAATAAATGTATAATTTTACAAATGTTTTGGTCTTGTCAAAAATGTCTATATTGTTTTACATCTAGATAATTTCAAATCACCCTTATATTATGTGAAACATTTTTCCCCCCCAGTACCAGGGATTGAACTCAGGACCTTGTGCTTGCAAGGCAGGCAACAGAACAACTGAACTAAATCCTTGGCCCTCACCCTTGTATTATGTAAATAGCCTACAGGTTATGTACAGGTTACGAATTTTGGCTGGACACTGGGATTCCTGGCTTCAGTAGCAAGAGGCTGACTTTGGGCAAGTGGTTTATCCTCTTCATGTTTCACGGACAAAAGTAAATATCTCATGGGCTTGTTTCAAAACTTCACCCAGATAACTTATTTGAGGTACAAATCTATATCTATATCTATATCTATATCTATATCTATATCTATCATATCTATATCTATATGATGTAAGATGAAAATCCTAACAAATTCCTATCTCTTAATCTCTTATAAGGATCTCAAATTGTATTTTCTGAATTAACTGCTACCATGATACTATGATATATGGTTATAGAACTGATTTTACGTGGGTATGGATATTTCTTGAAATGCCTTCTGGAATTCTACATACACAGAATTGTATTCCTCTGGACCACCATGGACAGTTCCTCACAAAGGGAGCCTACCTTTCCTCTCTCTCTGTGTGCCTGTTCCTATTCTTATCTAAAGGTGTTGTTTATATTTTTTCAGGGATATCATACTTTTAGTATCTGAAAAGAGCAAGTAGTAAGAGAAATGGCTTTATAGTAATATCTCAAAGATCATCGTGCCATTATAGTTTCTAATTTGCGCACAAGAAAGCAGTTTCAGTTGACTGTACCTGCTGCAGTCAGTAGCTGTCTCTGCTTAGGAACATGTTTTTTGAATTTCTGGTTGCCTGATGCTGAATCTGTGACCAAAACAAGAACCAAACCCTTTAAACAGTTTAAGGACATTTTTCTCTACATAGAAGTAACTTCTAAAGCCATGCATCGTGTCCATACCCAATGTCTTTTGCAGCAGCCTCTTTCTGCTCCTGCACTGGTTTCTTGTTGATTTCCTCTGCAGTTAAAGATGTGACTTCCTGTTGAATTATGACTTTCACGGGTAATACTTTGGGACCTTTTGTTGAAGTCAGAGGATCTGGAAAGTCACATGTTGGAATTGTTTTATTACTTTAGTAATGTTTGAAACAAGCTATGCCTTTGAGTTTATAATAGATTTTGCATCCTGTGTGTCAACACAATATGAAAATCCTGTAAAGCCGAGATAAGAACTTCTTTTAAAAATAACTTTATTGGTACACTTGGTATATGGAATGATCAAATTCATCATAAAAGACTTTCTCAGACTTGTCGTTACTGAAATTGTACACTGCCTGTGAATGCAGCACCCTTGTTCTGTGCCCACCAGACAGCAGTGGCACCTCCCTTCCCTAAAGGGGATTCAAGGTGTTTCCAGACATCCCGCGACACCCAGTTGGTGACAAAGCCGTGCCTGAAGGGGACCTCCTGGAGAAACTTCACTGGCTTCACCAGAAATCTGACCTCACTTCTGGCTCTCACTAAGGAGAAGCCAGCTTCCCGCTTCTAAGTCAAAACTTCTTCAGTTTTATGCGCAGTTCCTCTGTAGTGATTTTTCTGTACGTTTGCTCATTTTCAAACACATTTTCTACTCCAATATGTTCTATAATTCACAGACATTAAGTCATAATAGCATGTGTTTTAGGGAACAGTACAGCTAAGTATTCTGAACTTTGTTTTGTTCCTGGACACCCCTGGGGCTCCTGTGTGAAAGGTGTGGGCCCCAGAGAAGTGGGGTTCAGAGGGGACCTTGGGCCTTTGGGTGCCTGGCTCCTGACTCCAGCCATGAGTGGATGAATCCAAGGAGGAACTCAGACTGGTGGATGTCTTGGGAAGTGATGGAAACAGAGAAGGGGGGACTGAAAGTGTGGCCTCGGGGAATCTAGCTTGTTCCCGGGCAGGCTCTTTCCTTTTCACTTTCTCCTTTGTCCGTCTCTCTCCTCCTTCTCCTCCTCCTGCCCTACCCTGACCCTTCCCCTCCCTTACCCCTCCCCCTCTTCCTTTATCCTCTTCCTCTTCTCTTTCTCCTCCTTTACCCCTCCTCCTCTTCTTCCTCTTCTCCTTTATCCCTCCCCCCTCTATTTCTGTCTCTTTCTAGCTGCTGATTGCCATGCCACGAACATCTTTGCTTCTCTGTGTTGTTTCCACCTCGGACTCAGCCAACCATAAACTGATCTCTGAAACTCTGAACTAAAATAGACCTCTCCGTCTCCTCCTCCTCCTCTTCTTCCACTGTTTTTCACTGTTATTTTGTCAGCATGACAGAAAGCTGACTCACCCATTCAGAGACACGTACTTTCTTCAGTGCCTATTTTCCTGAAATTAGTAACATGGAGCGTGTAGCTGGACCTAATTTATTTGTAGTTTTGAACTTTATGAATATGACTTCTCTTTTTAATTCTATAAAAAGCTTTGTTTCTAGGTCTGGGGTATTGTAAGTGACACTGTTGCCAGGAACAATTGTGCCCTCATGTTTTGGTAAATATTTTGGGGTTTTTCTAGAACACTGGTTCTGAAATGTGCCAAGTTTATCCTGGTTCTTGGAGAAATTTCAGGCTCTCCCATCTGGAGAATGTTACTCACATGTAGTGAGTAGAGGGGAGTGATACTGCTAAATATCTTACACACACACACACACACACACACACACACACACACATTTCACTACCCTGACAGTTCTCCAGGACACAAACACCACCAGTGTCACATGGAGAACATGCTCTAAGTCACGCATCTAAGGGTGGGTATTCTGTGCTGCAAGACACACACCTCTGAGCTTTGCAGAAATGCTGATGCTCTTCCAAGTGGCTCTTACTTACCTTCTCACCAGCAGTGCCTAGGATTCAGATGGCCCATCATTTGATAATATTAGAGTTTATTCTTTTGTAAATCTCATAGGGTGAACTAGGGCTGCAGTGTGGTTTGAGTCATATTTTGCTCAAGAGTACTAAAACCACTTAGGGTTTATTTTCAGTAAAGAATCTGATCACTTGTTTCTACTGGATGTTGGTTCTTAATGGTTTTAACTGCTATTTACTTATTTTGGATACCACTTCTCTGTTTCTGTTGGTGCTTTTCTAGTTTGCCTTTTGACTATTTGCTTTCTTTATGTTGCTTTTCATGAGCAGGGTTGCTTGATTTTATGAGTGGAACTCATCAGTCATGTTTCCACACAGTCTCCCTTGTCAGTGTCACTCGCTCATTCATCTGCAGCCCTTTTACGTATATGTCCCCACTACCCAGTGGATTTATTTTGTATGTCGCACATGTTGAAATTCTTTTTTGTTTGTTTTCTACATTGAGGATCAGTTTCCCTAGCATCACTTTGATCTTGTTTTCTTCCTACTTGTAACACCAGCTTTGTGATAAGGGAGTTCTCAGTTTGCATCGCTCCCTTCGGGTCTCACCTTTTTGCTCCAGCGGCTTCAGGTTCACCCTTCCGGTTCGTCCTGCGGCAGTACCGATGCTCTGGGGCTCTGCTGAAGGTCACTGTGTGAAGGAAATCCACCCCACCTGGTTCTCCTTCAAGACTAAACTGTCCCCTTTAATGTTTAGTCCTGAATCTAGAAGCAGTTTGACAATTTTCAGCCTCTCAAAGAGTCTTCGGATTTTGATAGGAATTGCTTTGAGTACAGTATGTTAATTAATTATGGGGAACTTTACATTTCCCATCCCACTCTCCCCAGGCACTTATGCTTAAAGCTTTTACTGATTTACAGGAGTTTTACTCTGTATTTTCTGTAGAAGCTCTAACTTGAGTATGTTTAAGTTTATGCTCAGATAGCTTTTAGATGCTATCATACATTCAGTGGTATACAATCTTACTTTATGCTTCTCTTCCCCATATGAAAGGCCAATTGCCTAAAGTGTGCTGGTCTCAAACATTAGCCGAGTTGGCTATACTCTTGCTTATTTTACTAATTAATCTCA